GAGAAGAATGCTTCAAAGACAGGGATCCAGCAGAATGTCTGTACACAGAAGATTGGGGTGAGCTAGAGAGCAGGTGGGTCGCTGGGACACTGTCCCTTGCAGGACAGAGAAAGGGACATAGGAGGTGAGGGATGGACTCCCGAGAGCACAGCTGCTCACTTACGACAGTAGGAGGCAAAGCAGCGTGTATGGGTGCTTCTATTCAGCTTCGATGTGTTTTAGGGTCAAGAGTGCATGCAAAGAAGTAATTGTAATGATGACCATGGACTCTGAGCTCAGAGAAGAAGAGAGGAAGGACCTCAAGGGGGTGATGGACAGTGAAAATTGAGTTTCATGGAGTTAAGTGATTGCTGCAGGCAAGGACCAGCTGGAAAAATAGGTGTGTGGTCAGAAGCGGATGCATGGAATTGAGACTCTGGAGGAGCTGTGGTTGTTGGAAATGACAAGGTCTAGGGTGTACCCTGATTGCAAGTGAATGGGATCAGTGGGGGTGGCAGGAGGATGTGCTATATCAAATATTAAAGTCTCCAGGAGTGAAGATAAGAGTAGAGCTGGAGAAAGGGACAGCCCACAAGCACAGATGCAGGGACTGGTGGATGACAGCAACAGCAAGGGAAGTGGGTGATATACTCTGATGGCCTGAGATTCGAGGCTGGGGCTTTCAGGGGAGGTGGGGCAATGTGGACTGAAGGCCCCAGTGAGATGCAGGGAGTCACCTGCCTCACGTCTAGACCCAGTGAAAGAAAGAACCAGTGGATTTATGACGGGGGTGAGTTCTGGCTCAAGCCCATCTGTCTTGTCTTATCTGAGGTCATTGGTTTTCTCTGTACTTCAAGGACACTTTTTTGTTCCTTGTATATGCCATTCTTTCCCCCCCTAGTCCTGGAAAATGCTTTTCCTCCTTTTCTGGAACACACAGGGTTCAAGTATCTCCACTTCACCAGCTCCCACCACACACCTGGCTGACTTCTTATGCCCCTCTCTGGAGTTGGAGGAAACTCCATAGCATCTGGGAGTTTATCATTATCTTTCTGTTGCTTTATTATCATTTCTTGTCTGCCTTCCCCACTAGACTCTGAGTTTCTTAAATCAGAGACAAGATTCGATTTATTTCTCTAGCCCTAGCAGGTGGCAGGTGCCATGCATTGCAGGGGTTCAATAATCATTTCTTGAATAAATAAGCGGATGATTGAAGAGCAGCATCTAAAATACATCCTCTGGTGTGTAACTGGGACTTAATATGAAAAATTTCCTCCTCCTCCTGCTGCCTACCGATGTTCTCAATTAAAGGGTTATTCTGTCCTTTTGAGAAGAAATTCGGAAATTTAACTTTGCAGAAATTGGTTTTTTTTTGTATGCTAAATATCAATCAGTAGGAAAATACTATCCCCTAGACAACTTTGGCTTTTGAAATGCTTAAGAAATTTAACAGGCAAAAACGTCAGGCCAGTGTTTGCAAATTGTTGTCTTCTTTAATTTTTAAATCCGATCTAAGCAACTGAACCATGCCCAGAAAATAGCAGAGTGAAAGTTACTAGACTTCTCAACTAAGTCCTCTCCCTGCCCGAAGAGCAGACATTTTTGCACCAGCCCCAGACAACACCTCAGTGGCTCAGAGTCCTAGGAATGTGTCCTTCTGTGGAGAACAAGTCAAGTCCCTTGACCACCACTGACCTTAGTGGAGATTATATCCATTGATGAAAAAGCCACTAGTACTAGTCAGCTTCAGGCCGCAGGCTTGGTTCTTGAAAAACAGAAGTATCAAGACAAAGGCCTTGTCCTTGGGAAACCCTCAGTCCATGTGGGGAGTGAGTCAAGTAATAAGTACATCTGATGGTTGTCACAGGGACCCAGTGGGTGCCGGTGTGCCACGACGGCAAAGATGTGTTCTCGCTTCAGGCTGCTGGTGTTGGAATCCAGCTCTAGCACATGCTTAGGGAACTTTCTGCAACATATGCTGTCTCTGTCTCGGATTTCCCAAATGCAATGTGGTTCTAATAACAGGAAGACCCTCACTGGGAGGTTGTGTGGATTATATTAATTTATGCACGTAAAGCACTTGGAACAATACCTGTCATGTGCTACATGTCTGATAAGTGTTAAATATGGTCATCCAGGCTTGGTGATAAAATTTAAAATATAGTATTAAAAAAAAGACTGCCTGGGATTCCCTCTGTGGGAAATGAATGAATGACGTTCTTCAAAATCATAGATTCTACTGTATTGTAATGTGAGTAGAAGATTCTCCCTCACGTTGGACTTTCCTAAGAGAGAGTTTCCTGTGAGTCCCCTGATAGCACTTTGTTTCTATTTCTCCTGTAACGCTCATCTCAGTGTGTTCTCACAAATGTGGTTTCTCCACTTCTCTGTCTCCTGGAGAAGGTCCATGCTTTGCTGCTCTTTGATGCTCCCGACCCCATGTACACCCAGCGTGCCCCCAGCACCTATGGTGCCATAGAACCCTTTGCTCGATCTTGCAAGAATTTATAGAATACACATGAATGAAATAGACTTTTCCTCACTCCCTCCACCCCATCATCACCTACCAGCTTGGTTTTGGGAATTAACAAAGGCAAAAACAAAAAAGAGAAGATAAGGGGTAAATTTTTACCATAAAATGTATTAGTATGTTAAAGTTCAAAATACATCAGAAAAACGGGCTTCTACCAAAGACAGAAGCAGAAGTACACAGTGGAACAGATTGGTCAGTTTGATGCTAACCAGGTGCATGCGGGATAACAGAAAGCAAGCCTTGGCCTCTTTGCAGAAATTCGATCGTAGAGCATGGTACCTTTTGCTTACACTGTGTCTGGTGCCTGTGTGGTGAAGGTGTTGTGAAGGACTGCACAGGGTGGGGACAAGGTGGCACGGGTGGCACGGGGCCAAAACCACTCCCGAAGCACAATGCCAGGTGTACAAAGAGGAGGTGAGCTTCAAGCCTGGTTAGGGTGCGTGATGAGATGGCTTTGTGGGGCCACATCCCGAGTGGTGCCAACAGAGGAAACAAAGAAAGGAGGAATTTTGGGTTTCACATAGAAATGTAACCAGAACATTCACGTTTGGGAACATCTGGCATCTCGCTGATTTGTTTTCTTGTCTATTTGTCTTCCCTGCTGACTGCTCTCTGGTTAACGTGTTTAAATTGGGCTTGATAGAGTCACCTCCTCTGCTGTGTTGGGACCATCCAGGTGGGAAGGTGTTGGTAGATTGCAGGGTCAAGCAGTCACCTGCTGAAACTGGAACATTCATTGTTCTCCTTCCAGCTGGGTGCGATGCTGTCAACAGTGGGAACACCTGAAAAACAGTGGCATAAATGACTTCCATAAATCCAGGTTGAGATGTAACCAGCAGAAAATGTACCGTAAGCCTTGGACTCCGCATTAAGTGCATAGCCTGAAAACTAGACACTGGGAAGCTGGCTTGGGGTCTTTCTGGGTCAGGACAGGCAGTATATAAATACCGAAACAGACGTGAAAAATTTACAGGCAAACATTAGGATGCACCTCATTCTCTGCTTAGGGTTCTGGAGCGTTCTAGGAGCCAACTGTTCTTGAAGATCAACTGTCTGGAATCTGTCTCATTTTCCTCTGCCTGTTTACCCTTCCTCCCCCTGGCAGCAGAACGGCACCATCGCCTTAGTCGATGGCCATCAGGAAGTTATAAGCGTGCCCGTGGCACCGGGGAGGGACTGCACTGTGGTTTGGTGGTCAGGGGAAGGCTTCGGGAAGGCTTTGTTTAAACTGGTCTTTAAGGATGAGTAAGATTTAAGTGCGTGGTGGGGAGGGAAGCCTATTCATGTGGGGTTGGCAAGGCAAGGTGGTGAGTGGAAGTTATTTGTGAGGAATGAGAGTGGACCACAAAAGGTGGGTGAAGCTTCACACAGGGAAACCGGTGTCCTAGGTGAAGGAGCTCAGGAATTTCACCCCAAAATATGGCCCCTTGGTATAAAGTGTTTTGAATTGCAGTCCTCTTGAGATCAACAAAGCATTGGAGGGGCTTTCCCTCTCTCTGCACAACTGGACTGACATGATCAAAAGATCAAAGGGGGAATTGACTTCCCTTCCTCTGCCTGTTATCTCAGTGTATTGCAGATTGCAACCAGACCAGGCCCAGATCATTTAAAACAGAATACGTGTCTCTCAGCTTAATTTATTAGTCAATCCATTTCCCCCATCCATTCATCCTCCCTAGCAACTGTTTATCTCCCTAAACAGAATTACCTACACTCCTCATTTTCCCCCTCCACTCTAAAAGGCGTGTATAAAAATATATGAACTTCATTGTGATACTGACTAATGTGATTCTCCCCACTCACATGGTAAATAAACCTTTCTCTTATGAATCTGCCTTAATTGTGAGTTGACCTTTAAGCGAACTTTTGGGGTGATGGGTAAGTTTCCCTTCACCCCTACAATGGTATCAGATCTGGAACTCTCAGGACCAAAAGGCCCCTGCGAGGGAATAAGACTTACTCGTGGCATTAATGGCAACTGATACTTTATACTTGGCACATGGCATTTCATTGGAACTTACCAGTTAGTCGGGAAGGCGGGGACATCCATATTTAGTGCACAGTGGGCCAGAGAGTCAAAGGGTTCTCTGGTGAGCACTAGAGCAGGGCCCGGCTTTGCTTCTTCTGACCACACCGGTGCACCAGCCATTCCGCGTCCTCCGTACGACCCAGAGGAAAGGCAGGGCCCTCCTTGGCGGGAGGTGTGAGCGAAATGAGAGACGTGCTTCCCCAAGAGGGGAGGCACTCGAGTATTTCTCAAGAGCAATACCCGGCAGATACTGCTGACTGGCATCACATTTCGACCTCTGGCGTGGTCCTATCTGAGCCTCGAGAAGGACGATGCCAGTGTCGGGACTCAGGAGTGCCCTTGATGTTTCCGTGATTTATAGAGATCTCAGCCACTGTGAGTTGTTATTTATGGAGTGAAATTCAAGGCGAAGCTTTCAGGTCTCCAGGGAGAAGAGTGAGGGCTTTTTCCTTATTTCAGAACTCTGCAGGACGTGGGGTTGACCCGGCACCAGCACAAACAGGCGCGGACGCTGTCCGGAGGCATGAAGAGGAAGCTGTCCGTGGGCATCGCTTTCATGGGCACGTCGAGGACCGTGGTTCTGGATGAACCCACCAGTGGGGTGGACCCTTGCTCCCGTTGCAGCCTCTGGGACATTCTGCTCAAGTACCGAGAAGGTAGGAGCTGGGCCTCACTCTTCTTTCTCTTCCCACAGTGTTGTGGCCCAGGAAAAGGATTGCTAAAAGTACATTTTCATAAGCGTTTATAGAGATATACTTATTAGGTAAGATCTCTATAGGGCTCAAAATTGCATCCTTTGTGTTTGACCCCTTAACACGATACCAGCAATGACATTACCAACGCACACTAGGATTTATATTGAAATTGCGTTCTTCTGGAAGCATAGACTATCAGAGGAGGCATCCTAGTGACCATTTAGGATAAACCTTTCTTTTCTAAGATGAGGAAACCAAGGCACAGACAGATGGGCATCTTATTTGCTCTGTGGACGTAAAGTTGAGAAATAATAGGCCTTATCGACTTAGGGAAATCAAAGTTAATTTTATTCTGAGCCGAGGTTGAGGACCGCAGCCCGGAAACACAAGGCTCAGAGCAAACCAAGACTGTCCCAGGCTGGGTGATCAGAGGCGCAGTGTTTATAGGCTCTGTCACGTGGAGTATGATAGGAAGGGACAGCGGAGCAAAGGGGGCCTTCTTACAGTTCCGACCGGTGCTCAGTGGCATTATGCGTGGGATAAAGCACATGTGCAGTGCGCGTACACAGGGCGAAACCTTACTGAGCAAGTAGGCGTTTTAGGGTTGGGGGCGGGATGATTGATCCCCTCCTGCCTTTGTGCTTCGACTAATAGGGAAGGTGCTAATCAGTACATGTCAGGGAAGCATTTGACAGACTTCAGTTTTTCAGGCGAGAGTTCAGCTTTGGTTCATAGGCCCAGATTCTATTACATGTATGTTCAAGCTGCAGCCATCTCAGGCCACTTTCAAAGATTTTTCTTTCAGAGTTTCCTTTTTCTGACAGCTCATAGCTGCAGAGAAAGTTCCCTGAACCAAGGGTGGGTGGAACCTGGGACGCTGGCCCACATTTCTCGCCTCTGTTATTGCCTGTTTCCATTTGAGGGCATTGGATGGGCAGTTAGGAATTTCCAACTTCTGACTCTTTCTGCAACCCTGACAGCTAGGAAGTGTTGCTATGTGTATTTTGTATGAAACACTCTCCTTTGGAAGGAAACACATCTTGCTGCTGATAAACAAGTGTAGAGGCGACGGTGGCAGGATTAATATAGAATCTAAAACGTTTTGCATTTTTCTTTTGCTTTTCGCGTATAAAACCTTCTGACAGGACCTGAAGCCTCCATCTCCTTGGGGGTAGATTGGGATTTGCCACTAAAGACAGGCAAAGAGAAAGCACAAGAAAGAGCCCCTCCCTGTCCTTAGCATGTGAAGGGCTGAGCCTGACTGCCTCAGATCATCATATTCTCCCTTAAAGCTTCGCCATAGGCTGGACTCAGAGAGGAGAAAGATAATACAGAGGGAGCTTTAAAGACAATCCTGTTCCTTCTACCCTACAATTTTAGAGGAATTGTGGGAGGAGAAGTCAGAGAAGAAAGCAGGAAAATTAAGCAAACAGATGTGGCGTTTTGTTCCATTCTGGGCTTTGGCCTGGGCTTGGCAATTGCACAAGAAAAGTGAGGGTCTTGGTGGTGTTGGCTCCTCAGCCCTGGTGAAGCCACAGCAGAGCTTATGAGGCTGAGTGGAACCTAAGACCAGGAGGCACTGACGGCTAGAATTCCTGCACTTTTCCAGGCCTATGAGCTCTGACACTCAGAGGGAGACAGGGTCTGCTAGGGACGCTGCCATGGAAGGACAAGGAGGGCCCTCAAAGCTGGCTGGAGCCAGGGAAGAGATTCAGGGCTCTGAGGCTGGCAGGACCTGACAGCCAGGGAGCACTCTGCTCTGACCTGACCCCGCCAGGGTCCCTGCCCAAGCTCAAATGTCAAATGGAGAAGGGAACAGTGCCAGGTGGTCTCAGTCATCACTCAGACACCACATTGTACCCAAAGATCCTAACTTTTCCCCATTGCCACGAGATCACCAAGCCTCTTTGCTATATTACTGAAGTGCCCCTCGAGGAGAGCATAGAAGGGGCACTTGAATGCCACTTGAAGGCACCGGTTAAATTTTGAGATGAAACCAAACTGGACTAAATAATTTGCCTGCTACCCCTAGTGAGGGCTGATGAAGAAGATGGATGAGAGATAGAGAAATAGACTACATTGTCTCTGTACCTGTGAGCTGCGTGTGCATTAAACACTGCATGCCTGCCATTCTTGTTTATTTTAAAAATCAGAGATGGAGTCTTCAAAGTTTAGCAGAACATTTGAGTAATCAGCATAAAGGTTACTTTGGGCAGAAAACCAGATATAATAAAGGTCTACAGAAACAGACAGCTTTCTTCAGTTTCTGTTGTTATAAATGAAATATTTTTCTACTGCTCTCCATTGCTCAGCTATGTTTTTGTTTTTTTTTTTTTTTTTGTCTTTGGAGGACTCCTTTGGAATCATTCCTGCACTGATTGAAGTGTAAAATCAATAGGATGTAAGTGATTAGATAGGTGGTACTGGGAAAAAATATGTTTTCAAGAATCAAAATGTATATCTATTTCTGGAAGCAGCCTCAAACCTCCAGGTAACTGATATCGCTCTGTGGATAGATCTAAGGACTGTGCAAAAACAAATGTTCCCTGCTGAGTAGAAAGAGATCTTCTATCAGAATACCAGTACACTGGGGGCTCGATCTACCTGGAATTTTGTATGTTTCTTGCTTTGTGATATACAACACGAGCTCTTGATCAGCCCTGGTTACGAGTACTTCTGTGCCTCCCATGGAAAAATATTAATAAATAAGGAAGCAAAAGATACAAGAGCAAACTGGCACATCACCACTAAATTTCTGTACTGGTACACGCACTTGCTCTGCAATTCCTGTGTGACCTGGGAGTAATTATCAAATTCTTCTGAGCTGCAGTGTTCTCATTTGCAAACGAAGACAGTCATACCACCTTGTAGGATTTTGGGAGAAGCAAATGCACTGTATGTGAAGGTGCATAGATCAGTATGTGGGTGCTCAATGAATGACAGGTTATCATTATTGTTATTAAAATAGAAGAGAGAGGTGAATGTGGGAAGTGAATTTTTGGAGGAAAAGGGGTAGAACGCATCATCCGAATCAGAGAGAAAAAGCATCCTGGGGAAAACAGAGTAATACTGTTAGTCAAGATTTGGGACTGTCACTGAACTGAACTTGGTCCACTCGCCCAGCGCAGCAAGGCCAAACACGGACACTGAGGTTTGCAGCCAGGGAAAGGAAGGCCTTTGTTGCATGGCGCCAAGCAAAGAGAACGGGCAGCCAACGCTTAGGACCCAAACTTCCTGAGGGCTTACAAACAAGGGTTTTTAAAGGCAGGGCTACATGTCAGAAAAGCAGAAATTATAGGCAAAACCAGTACATGAGGTTATACATTAATTTGGCCCCCAAGGGCAGGATATGTTGAAGCGAGACTTATGGGACATAGGTGGATTCAGAAATTCTTCGATTAGCAATTGGTTAAGGAAGCAATTGTCTGAAAACTTGGGGTCAGTGGAAAGAATGTGAAGGTCTAGCCTGTGGGTGTGACTCTCTCCAGGCCCCTCAGGAAGAAATTTAGAACAAAGGACAGCAGTCAGAGTTCAGTCCTCACTTCCTGCACGGCAGTGGTCATGGCCGCCATTTGCCATCTGGTGGGGTCTGAGTTTCCGAAAAACAACTCAGGAACGCATGTTAAGATGTTATCTTTTAGTTTCCACAGGGAACAAAAACATCTTGTGACTCTGACTTGCTTGGGAGACCATTGTTTTAACTTATCACTATCTTCTTATATGTCGGGTTGCTCATTTACTTTTCAAGGCTAGCTAGGTGCCTAGAGTCTCCCTGGAAGGCACTGAAGATTTTCCCTTTATTTCCATGCTTGAGGGGGCCTGGTAGGCTCCTAAGAGGGATCTCTGCTCCATCTTAGGATGTGTCTTGAGTTTCTTTAGCATTCACTAGGAAGCCATCATGGATCAAAGTCTGTGACTTTAATCTAAATTCTTTCAGAATTTGTTAGTTTGTTTACTTTCCCAGCTTTAGTAAGGTGAAATTGGGAAATAAAAATTTTATATATTTATGGTATACAGAGTAATGTTTTGATATACAGTTGGCCCTCCGTATCTGTAAGTTCTGCATCTGTGTCTTCAATAAACCTTGTGTGGAAAATATTCAGTGAAAAAAAAAATAAGAAATAACAATACAGCAATAAAAAAATAGTACAAATAGAAGCAATACAGTATTAATAACTATTTACATAGTGTTTACATTGCATTAGGGATTATAAGTAATCTAGAGATGATTTCAAGTATAGGAGAGGGTGTGCAATGTGCATAGGTTATACGCAAATATTACATCATTCTATATAAAGGATTTGAACATCCGGATTTCACTATCCTTGGGGGTCCTGAAACCAATGCCCTAGGGATACTGAGGGACAAATGTATGTAAACATGTGGAATGGTTAAGTCAAACTAATTAGCATCTCAGTCACCTCACACACTTATCCTTTCCTTTTGTGTGTGTGGTAAGAGCTCATAAGATGTAATCTCTTAGCAATTTTGAAGTGCACCATGCATTACTATCAGGTATAGTCGCCATGCTGTACAGTAGATCTCTTGCACTTATTCATCTTGCATAACTGAAACTTTGTATCCTTTAACCAACATCTCCCCATTCTGGCCCCCAACCCTGCCACTGGGCCCTCAGCTCCTGGTAACCACCATTCTACTCTGCCTCTCTTTTGCTTATTTATATTCCAATTAACTTTTATTTGTAGACTACTTCACTGTATAGGAGTATATAGTCTGAACTTCACAGCAGCTCTAATCAGAGTATCTAAACTGCCTTTAATAGCAAATTAGGGCTTGAACACATTGTCTTAGCCTCAGAGGACTAATGAGCAAGGAGTTTGGCCTTGGTCTCTGAGACACATCTGTGGTGAGAATAGTCACTGTGGATTCCCCAGTCTTTGTTGCTTTTGGATGTACATTTTATGGTTTCTTTCTAGATGTATTTTTTTTTTTAATGAATTGAAAGTCCTGATCTTAATTCTTCTCCTCTATTATTATCATTATTTTTTACCTGTATTTTGTTTTTAATTGCCACATAATAATTGTACATATTTATGGAGTACAGTGTGATGTTTCGATGTATACAATGTATAATGATCAAATCAGGATAATTAGCATATCCATCACCTCAAACATTTAATTGAGTATAGTTAAAAACACGTTTAGCCTTCTCTCTTTGGAAACTGGCTTTTGGAATAACAGTCAATCAATGTGTTTATTTCTGTGCAATAAAATAGAACAGGTTGAATGGGGCTCAGTGTAAGCCAATAGGGGGTGTGGAAGCTAAAAGCAGTAACACCTTCCCTTTACATAACTGAAGTCAACTTTACCAAAATGTCTTTTAGCTTCTCTGGCCTCTGCTCTGCTAAGGTAAATCTGGGGCTTTTTCTCCCCAAGCAAAGGTGGTAGAACTTGACACAGTGCTGGAATTCATAGAGGACACATATGAGCCTAACACTTGTTTCTGCAAAAAGTGGGCATGGACACTGGGCTCAGTGACATCTTCCTCCTGAGAAGGCCCAAGCGCCGTATGTCCCAGCTCCCCCGCCCGCCTCCCACACCATGCTCTCTGTGGGTCACGGCTGCTGTGAGCTTTCCCAGGGAGGTAGTGTATGTTCTGGTCCTGCTACATTTGATGAATGACTACATGTGATTACATCATCCCTGATTCCAAAGGGCGTCAATATATACCATGGCCATTTCAGACATCTTTTTTTTCTGATCAATTTCTGCCTTAACACAGTGCTGATTTTCTTATGCAATAGACCTTCCATGGAATAAAGCCTTCTCCTTAAGTACACAAGAGATTGTCATCTGAAGAAGAATGAGGAGGAGTTCAGTATCAGGGGAGAGAGAGAGAGAGATGCCCATCTAGCTTTTATTTTTTTTTTTTAAATTTCTTCTCTACATCCATTCAGTGATCTGCCTCTGAGTTTTGGAGAGCAGGTGGCCGTGCACAAGGACTCTATGTTTCGTTTCTCGGTTTCACCCTTAGTGTCTGCCAGAGTGGCCCCTTTGACTCCTAGGGGGAAAGATTTGTAGAAACAACTGTATAGAGAAGCCTTTCAGGGTCTCTAATTTGCAAAGTGTCCTCAGCTAAGTCATTTCTGCAGGACCCATTTCAATTCGTTTCAACTTAAAAATTGGTGACAAGTTTCAAATTGTGTCCTGGATCTACCATTCCAAGGAAAGCATGGATGGCTCTCCTCGGGGCCTTTGTCATGCCAGTACTGATGTGCTCTGTGCTTGGACCCAGGTCGCACGATCATCTTCACCACTCACCACCTGGATGAAGCTGAAGTGCTCAGTGACCACGTGGCGGTTCTCCAGCAGGGCCGGCTCAGGTGCTACGGTCCCCCATCCTGCCTGAAGGAGGTGTATGGCCAGGGGCTCAGCCTGACACTCACAAAGCAAGTAAGAAGTACAACCACTTTGCTTCATTGGTGAAGTCGCGCACCTGTCTGTGGCATAAGAAACAAACTATGACAATCAGACAATAATAACATCGCATTAGAGGCCTCCTGTGTACAATGGCTCAGTCCCCCAGGGCTGAGCAAAGGAAGCTATCCTCTGGGAACCCGAGGTGCATTTTGATGCGGAAATACATGAAGGGTCAGAATAAGCTGGTAGCTAGTAGGAGCTGCTGTGAGTGTCTGGGTCAGGAAGTTATCGTGACTCATGTGTTCTAGAAATACTTTTCTGACAATGATACTCCATTTAGGAGGCTAGAACTTTGCCCTAATGCAGAAGCAGAGTGTGAGGGCATAGGGCAAGTGAGGCGGACCTGTCACGCCTGTACGTCTGTAGTTACCATTGCCTTGTGTCAACCGGGGCAGGCATTGGTGGCTCTGGGGTCGGGACGGGGGTGAGGGTGTCACCTCCTCACTCTTGATGACTGAACCTGACCCTTGGTGGCCCTCATAAAGTCTGCCCTTGACCTGTGAGCTAAGGTTCCTGTTTGCTTCCTCTCTAATTCAGAGTGAATATCTCGCCGTGCTGAGATGGCTCCTTTCCTCTGCAGCTGGGAATCCTTGTCTCCCTTCTGAGAAGACCCAGCCCTGTTTCTGTAGTGCGATTGCTAGGCCCAGAGTCTTCCGTGATTCTCCCAGGGGACCAGCAGGGGTGGGGAGCACTTCCTGAACAGAGCCGTGGGGGCTGGCCACAGCATGCCCAGTAGCCAAGAGGGACACGCAAGTGTGGCCTTGTCAGGTTTATCACTGTAGATTTATATTTTAAAAAAGAAAGAAAAAAAAAACCCACAATGTATCATTGAGATGCCTATTGTTTAAATGTGGTGTTTCATTTAAGCTTTGAAATGGAATTTCAAAATAATTTGTTTATGGATATACATGAAATCAATTGATATATATTTGAATTGACATTCCTCAGTGATTTCTTGGTTTTTGTTTTTTTTTGTTTTGTTTTTGATAGCCTTCTGTTCTGGAGGCCCATGATCCAAAGTACGTGGCTTGTGTTACGTCTCTGATACAGATCTATATTCCACAAGCATTTCTCAAAGACAGCAGTGGGGGTGAGCTGACCTACCACATTCCCAAGGACGCGGACAAGACTTGCTTCAAAGGGCTCTTCCAGGCCCTGGATCACAACCTCCATCATCTGCACCTGACGGGCTACGGGATCTCAGACACCACCTTAGAAGAGGTACTGAGAAATGCTGAAGAATGCTTTTATTATTTATGCTTTTTTAGCCATTCTGCATTCAACGAAGAGATGCAGGTAAAAGGGAGGAGATGGAGAACGCTGTGCATTTTTTTTATGTTCAAGTTCTTATCAGTGTTAGCCACAGTGGAAGCCAATAACTGAATTAACACACCTGACAGGTACTATTGTTATTTAAGGGAAATAGCATCTTATATTTGAGAACTTTGGTGTCTTTAATCCAGAATCATTACCTGTCTATACCACTATGCCAATAGTGGACGGTTGCTGTCGTAGTTCCGCACGTGGAGGTGCCCTCCTCTTGTCTACGGGCTGCTGTCTGGGAGCCTCTGGTCCCATGCTGGGTGAGCCAGGTGTGAGAGGGTTCCGCTTGTGAAATTGCTGACTCCTGGTCAGCTCCCACCCCCAGACCCCACCTTTCCTCCACCTGGGACTGAGCTGGATGAGACCAACTACGCAGTGTGGTTTCTTCATAGCGTACGATCAACAAGAGTCAGAATCAGGCAATTCCTGCAGGAGGAAGTTGCTGTGTCGTGTAACCCCACCTAAGGCAAGCCCTGTTTGGGGTTCTTGAGGTGTGAGCCATAATAGTATTTAATTGTACATTGCTGTCACTTATATAAAGTGCTTCAGATTTTTAAAAAATCAAGTGGTGCAAATTAAAAAAAAAAATCTGGGAAGAATTTTGGACTATTTCTCTAAATTACCCAGGAATAGCAATAGTGCCTGATCAGGTTTTTAATTAGCAGTTGACATTTAGAACCTGAAACAATATTTAAAAATAACCATGGAAAGTAAAATGTTTTGACTTTTAGAAAGTCAAAGTCTGAACATTGAGTTGTGTTGGGGATGGATTTGGGGCTGAGGGCACATCGCCCGGTTAGTGACGCCAGAGGAAAGGCGACCCTTGTGTGATCAATCAGTGTAGTCCCAAATAGACAGCAGCCATCGCAAGCTTTGTCTGGAATAAATCATCATAAATATTGCAATACATAAAATTATAATATTACACAATGCTTTTATATGTAGAATGTATTTGGTTCCCTTGAAATTCTGTAACTTGTCATTTCTATTTTAAGGTTGAGGAAACTGAAGCTCAGACAGGCTAAATTCTTTACCCCAAACCACCAAGGTCATGGGTGATGGAGCTACACTGAAACTGGGGTTTTCTAGTGGTTAGTCCAGTTCTCCAGACACGCCCTTGACTTTGTGGGTGACGCTCTGGATTCCACAGACCACCAGGGCTGGAGTACCTTTGCTGGTCTCTTTGTAGCAGAACAAGTCGGGGTGCACAGAGACAAGCAAAAAGCAGCCTAATATGCACACGATGGATCTGAGCTATTTTCTAAAACCAGAGAACGCAGAGTCACTCCATCTTTTATTGTCTGGCTTGTCTCCTACTTTCCTTCTTCAAGTCTCCACAGCACGGACCCAGATTCCTCAGCATCAATTCACTTCCAGCCCCTCCCCTCTCCCTGCACTCCGTAGCTTCCCTGCATGAGTCTTCTCCCAGCTTGTTATGTGTGGTAGCGTGCAAGCTGAGCTCTGTGAGAGCTTGTATCTTCTCTGCTCACCTCCACGCCTGCAGTGTCCAGGGCCGCTGCTGACTCTAGTGGTTGCTTAATAAATATTTTCTGGAGGTCATTATGTTAAGAGAAATAAACCACGTGCAGAAGGACAAATGTTGCATGTTCTTACTCAAATGTGGTTACTAAAAAAATAGATTACATGGAGGTTGAGAGTAGAATGATAGATACCAGAGAGAGGGAAGAGTGTATGGGGAAGGGGATGGGATGAAGATAAGTTGGTTAATGGGTACAAACATACTGTCAGATAGAAGGAATATCTAATGTAGATAGCAGAGTAGGGTGACTATAGTTAACAACAATGTATAGTATTTTTCAAAATAGCTAGAAGGGAATATCTGAAATGTACTTAACACACAGAAATGATAAATACTTAGGTGATGAATACCATAGGTACCCTGACTAGATAATTATGAATTCTATGTAGGTAACAAAATTTTACATGTACCCCATAAATGTGTACAATTATATCAAAAAACACAATTACGACACTATCACTTACATTTTTAAAATAAAGCAATATCTGGAACTGACAGAAAATATCATTTACATAAATAGATATAATAATCTTCCCCATTTTGCCTTGCAAAATTGGATTATTTCCAGCTAGGATGCTGCACTGACAACTTGCTCACAATTTAATAAAGCAGTTGGGCTCTAGCCAAGCTTCAAAGGCTTTAAGACTAGGTATGAACTTGTAAAATAGGGATGTTAACATTTACATCAACAGGTATACTTTTATACTCATAACATGTGCAAAACACAGTGCTTTGTGTTAGGAAGGGGAAGAACAGAATTTTAAAGATCACAATTTGCCTCAAGAAAATAAGAGTTTAATGTGGAAGACACACTCACAAAAAAAAAAAAAATATTTTCTGAATGAATTATGTGCAGAACATGTCCAAAGATTCATCTAGCCTTGGGAGTAGCATGTTACAATGGAAAGTGTATGTGCTTTTCCCTAGAAAGTTCTCAATTCAAATCTTTCTCCCTCCTGAGCTCTAGGAACTTGAATAAATCACTCAGCTCTTGTGAGCCTCGGTTTTTTAATCTTATTTTATTTTTATTCAAAATTTTTTTTAAGAGACAGGGAGGGGGACTCACTATATTGCCCAGGCTGGCCTGGAACTTCTGGACTCAAGACATCCTCCTGCCTCAGCCTCCTGAGTAGCTGGGACTGCAGGTGCACACCACCGTGCCTGGTGCCAATTTTTTGATCTTTAAAATGGAAAATTCAGAAAAATTTACATAATTATTCCAAAGAATAACAACAATGGTTAAATACCTGGAACAAATTAGTTGATCTACAATGCCAATGATTTCTCTGACCTATAGTGGCATGGCATGAGACATTGCTGCCATAGCTCTGGAGTGACCCTGGGATGAAATCACATCTGTGATCCCAAAAGGGCATCTTTTCTCCAGGGATTTTTGTGGGATAACAATTTTGCCCCTGCCAATGTTGAAGGACAGGAAATGTCCTAAGCCTCGTCTTCCCCTGACTGCGTGAGTCAGGATGTGTTTGGAGTTCTCCATGAGTGTAGGTTTACAGCTAACGAAAGCACCAGACTCCAGTGCGGTTATGTCAGACACCACTTGTCATTAACTTCTGAAATGTGGATAACAAGTCCAAATAGTATATTAGAAAGCTAATAGTTTGTATAGTTGGGAACTGTCAACTGGCATGAGTCAGTTTCCCTGCAGACGTAAAGAGTACCACCTTCCAAAGTTGTTTCCCCATCCTGGGTCACTTGAAAAGGAAAATAAAATAATTTCTTTTGGATTGTAAAGATGAATTGTCAAAAAGCACAGACTTGTTATGTTAGTGTCTATCTCTCTAATTCTTCACCAGGTTAAGCAGGTGGTTTACTAGTTGTTTGGATCTCATACAGATAAACTGAACATGTTTGTAAAATCACTGGACTCTCAGGGTAGGGGAGAAGACCCTGTGGAAATATCAAAGTTTTTGGAGCAAGCATGCTTATCAAGAGAATAATGTGTGCACCCTCAATGTAGGTAAATTTACTTATTTACAATTAAACATACATGGCAGGAAGAGTTGGTGTTTCCTTTATGTAAGTGGCATTTTATCTATTGCTAACAAAATAAGAAACCTCAGGAATCCTTTTAATATTTATCAATAAAAACAGTGTAATTGTGTGGAATGTTTGGCTTGAATATTTTATGAATTTAAACATCACAGAAAGAAAAAAAAAAAAAAACAGGGAGGAATGTCTTTAAGTTTTGGCAGATGCTTAGCTCCTAAAAGGTTTTGATAATTATTGTGGCTTGTAGGACCAATCAATAATATCTCGAGGCAAAATATGTATTTAGGTAGAAGCTTATTCATACCATGGTGTATAAAAATAAGATATTTCAATATTGTTAGTAATTTACTTCCTGCCTGCTCCCTTCCGTCCCTACATTAGGCCTGGCTGATTTTCAGTCACACCTGAGGTTAAAACAAAAAGCTGACGGGAGTAAGAAAGCGGCAGCCTTGCATTCAGGTGCTGGCTTGTGCTTGTGCTGCTGCTATTATCTGCAGAATCTTTTTAAGACATGTGTCTCTTTTGTAAGCCTCATTTTATTAAATAGTAAAACCTAGATAAACCAATTTAAAAATCCACTTAAATGGGCCACAACAAAGCTGCAACCTGCTGAAACTGAGGGAGCTGTCACTGTGGCAACAGAGGCTGACTGAGGACCCCAATGGCCATCAGCATCTGAGAAAATGAGGAATTCTTAACTTCTTGTGGGGTCTACCCCCAATAGAAACTGAGCCTTCCCTGTTCTCTTCTCACACCCCCTGGGGTGCCGACGACCCACCTTGGAGATCCAGGCCTGGACGGAGCCTGCGGGACTGCCCCTGAGCGCTCTGGGTGCCACCTGGGGACTCAGTCCCTGGGTGGGAAGAGACCCCACGCCAGCAGCCTCCCCAGCTCAGCACCCTCAGCTACAGACTGGGAGTCACGGAAAGAGCCACAGAACAGCGCTGATGGGAAGAAACTCCCAGCATAGTGCGGGGCACGCAGGCAGGGGCTGCGATTCAGCCTGACTGGGACTTGGGACTCGCAGAAGTCCCAGGAGCGGCGGGGCCCAGGAGTGCCGGGTGGCGGGGCGTCCTCGCTGTGCCTCCCCGCTAGCCACGGGATCCTCTTGTCTGGCTCCCCTGCGTAGCAGGCCTGGACAAGGCCGGGAGGTCCGGTGTTGTGTGGGAGGCTGTCCTTTCTTCCCACCCCCGGGCTATCCCACCTGCACTTCTTTCTCCTGCCTCTCCCCACTCCTGCTGGGAGAGTGGGAGAGCCGGGCATCGGGGTGGGGCTGTTCGGAACTTGCTGTGCTGTTAGGCCTTCCGTGCCCAGAAGTGTAAACCAGATTTGAAGCCTCCTTGCGTGT